GATTATGAATGAGATGAATTCACTCATAACATAGAAGTCAATAGCAGAAAGAATTAGAAACCAGAATCCTATGATATATAGTTTAAAAGAGACACACTTGAAATATAAAGACACACACAGGTAAAATTTTTGCATCAATATACAATGGTAAAGAATTATATGGAAAATTATTAACATTAATACAAAATTACTTATTTGCATTTTATATGTAAAACTAAGTATGAAATAATGACATTTTAAAACATATTGTAGCACTGCAAAATGAATGTTTACTGATAATGACTTTTTATTTTTTAATTTTTTTATGAGGCAATCAGGGTTAAATGACTTGCCCAGGGTCACGCAGCTAGTTAAGTATCAAGTATCTGGGGGCAGCTAGGTGGTGCATTGGATAGAGCACTGGCCCTGAAGTCAGGAGGACCTGAGTTCATATCCAGCCTCAAACTAAACACTTGACACTTACTAGCTGTGTGACCATGGGCAAGTCACCTAACCCCAATTGCCTAGGGGAAAAAAAAAAGGTATCAAGCATCTGCATTATCTGCTCTTGATTTGAACTCAAGACCTCCTGAATCCAGGGCTCAGGCTCTATCCATTGTGCCACCTAGCTGCCCTTGACTTTTTATTTTTAAATGTCTCCAATATATCTGTGAATAGCTTTTCAGATACTAGAATTTTCAGTAACAACAGCAGAATACTACTTTTCGCAAAATGTAGTTTCCTTGATTTTCTTTTAATTAGGTCTATTTTTTTCTTTTGCTTTGTCTGAGATTGTTATTGTTACCCCTGCCTTCTTTTACCTCAGTTGATGCATAATAGATTCATAATAAAACTGATAATCTAAGTGAAATGGATAAAAGGGTAATTGGCCCACAGTCTTCTGTTTTGCTTTCCCTTATTTAGGTATACCATATTTGTGTCATAGAAGGAATTTTGTTAGGACTCCTTTGCCTATTTTTTCAAATATTTTATATAGTATTAAAATTAATTATTCCTGGACACATCCAGGAATTATATGAACACAATTATAAAACACTTGTCCCACAAGGACAGATATAAACAGTTGGATAAATAGTATTGTTCATGGGGAAGCTGAGTCAATATAATAACAATGACAATTCTATCTAAATTAATTTGCTTATTCAATGCCACATCAAACTATCAAAAAATTATTTTATAGAGCTAGAAAAAATAATAACAAAATTCATTTAGAAGAATAACAGGTCAAGAATATTAAGGAAAATAAATGAAATTCAATGAAAAAAAGAGTGAAGGAAAGCAATATATCAGTACCAGATCTTAAATTATACTACAAGGTAGTAATCATCAAAACTATCTGGTACTAGATAAGAAACAACAGTGGTAGATCAGTGGAACAGATTAGGCTCACAATATACAGAAGTAAATGACCACAGTAATCTAGTATTTGCTAAACCCAAAAAGCCAAGTTTTGGGGGCAAGAACTCAATCTTTGACAAAAATTGCTTAGAAAACTGGAAAGAAGTTTGGAAGACACTTAAGCATAGAACAACATCTCATACCACATACCAAGATAAGTAATATTGAGTACATGATTTAGATGTAAAAATTAAGGAGCATAAAAAACCAAACTTGTTAGATCTCTGGATATGGGAAGTTCAATGTCAAAAAAGAGAGGATCATGGGAAGTAAAATGGGTAATTTTGATTATATCAAATTAAAAGATTTTTGCACAAAGAAAACCAATATAGCCAAAACTAGAAGGAAAGAAGAAAACTGGTGGGGAGGGCAGATTTTATAGCAACAAAAGGTCTCACTTCTCAAATTTATAGGGAACTGGACCCAATTCATAAAAATAAGAGCCATTCTCCAATTAATAAGTGGTCGAAGGATATGAACAGGAAGTTTTCAGAAGGAAAAAAAAGTTACCAAAAGTCATGTGAAAAATGTTTTTAAATCACTATTGATTAGAGAAACAAATTAATACAACTCTGAGGTACCACCTCACACCTATCAGATTGGCTAACTCGTCAGAAAAGGAAAATGACAAATACTGGAGGGGATGTGGAAAAACAGACACATTAATGTGCCGTTGGTGGAGTTGTGAACTAGTCTAATCAATTAATTCTGGAGAACAATTTGGAACTATGTCCAAAGGGATATAAACTGTACCTACCATCAATACCACTAATAAGTCTGTATCCCACAGAGATCAAAGAAAAGGGAAAAGGACCTTTATGTATACAAATATTTACAATAGTTCTTTTTACGGTGCCAAAGAATTAAAACTGAGGGGATGCCCATCAATTGCTGAATGGTTGAACAAGTTGTGGTATATAATTGTGATGGAATACTATTTTGTTATAAGAAATGACGAGCAGAGTGGTTTCAGAAAAACCTGGGAAGCTTTGTATGAACTGATGCAAAGCGAAGTAAATATAAATAGGAGAACAATGTACACAGTAACAACAATATTGTAACCATAAACAACTGTGAAAGACATCACTATTCTGATTAATGCAGTGATCCAAGACAATTCCAAAGGATTTATGATGAAAAATGCTATCCCACTTCCAGAGACAGAACTAATGAACTCAGAATACAGCCTGAAGCCTATTTTTTTCCCTTTTATTTTTCTTGCTTTTTTGCAGTGGGAAGAGGGCAATATGGCTAAAATGGAAATTTTTGCATGACTTCACATGTATAATGGTTATCATACTGCTTACCTTCTCAATGAATGGGGGATGGCATGGAGAGGGAGGGAGAATATTTGGAACTGAAAACTTTAAAAAATGAAGGTTTAAAAAAAGAAAGTTAAAATAAAAAGTCCTTCCTTGGAACAAATGTACCATAGATACAGTATTCCCACATAATTGTGTGATAAATCTAAGTTATTAAAATAATTTTAAAGACTACACGATTGGTATAAAAAGCTAGTTATAAAAGAACAATAACCCAAAATGACAAAAGTCATACATGTCAAGACATTTCATTTTTTAATAAGTGGAACGAAGCTTTTTCATAGAATCAAAATATAAACAAGAAATGCCATACAGGCAAAAAGCCATAATCAGCCTACATTGGTAAAACAATGAAAAGATGAAAAAACTAAAATGATAAGGTTGATAAGTGATAAAACACCTCAATGAGTGCTATTGTGCAGTTATAAAATGAGAAAAAATTGTTTGTAAGTACAACCAAAAAAAGTCAGATGGCTCAGAAATATAAATTTAACCACCAATATTCGTATAATTCTCTCCTTATCTCCCTAATGGGATTTTGTTTGTTGGTTTGGTATTTGGTTTTGAGTAGTGTGTGTTAAGCAACTGAGAAGAATTACAGTACTTGTAGGTTAGCTAATATCATCTGGAGTGTGCATATATGTGCATGCACACACTGGAAGAGGAAGGATATTTAAATATAAATTCAAGAGTGATTTATTTTGCTAAGCATACCAATATATAGTGTGACCAAGGACTGAGATTTCTGGAGTTAGAATTATGCTGTATAACTGCTATACTTAAGCACAACTGAGAACTTTATGAAGACGATGCCTAGTCATATGGGTTTACAACTTATTTGATATTCGCTGAAAACACCAAACGTATTTTGACTTGTGAATATATTTACATGGTGATACTTCTGTCTCTTCTCTCAAAACCATCTTATTTTTTCTACCCACATGACTATCATCCTTCATGATTTCTTATTTACACTCGCATAATGAGCATCCTAACTGTCCTCTCTGCTTTCAATTTTACCCCTCCAATCCACACTCTATACAACTGCTCAAATAAACTTACAAAGGAAGAGGTTTCCTCACAATCCTCAATGATGCACCATTGACTCTAGGACAAATATAAATCCTCTTGGAATTTGAGGCCTTGCACAACATAGCTCCTAACTACATTTCCAGCTTTATTTTCTACTATCCCTTCCCTTTCACAAACTTTACGTTGTAGTCAAACTACTATTCACTAAACTCAAAGTTCCATATCCTATCACCAAATATTCACAGAGACTAGCTGGTGGGTCTAAAGCTCTCTTTCCTTATATACACATTTTGTCTTCCTTTATGGCTCAACTTGGGAGCCACCTCTTCTATGAAGCCCTTTCTGATCCTCCTTGCTGTTAATGCTTTCTCACTATTCAAATTATAGTATTTACTTCCCTGTATATATTCCCCAGTAGAATATAAGCTCCTTGAGTTTAGGAAGTGTTTCTTTTTGTCTTTGTATTCCTAGCTCCTAGGACAGTGCCTTGCACAGAGTAGGCACTTACCAAATTGCTGAATTGAAATGATGATCTGTCATGCTTGAAAAAACAGCAAACAAAAAATGGCAACAAAGTAATTGTTTTTAAAAAGCTTTTATAATGTATTAGGAAAATTCATAATTATGGTCATGATCATTATTAGACTGGGGTACTTAACATAAGGTCTGCTAACTTTAAAAAAAAAGTATTCTGACAACTGCATTTCAATGGAATTTCTTTCCTTTGTAATCCTCCATATTTTATGCATTTAAAAATGTGACTCTGAGAAAGCATCCACAGGCTTAACCAGACTCCCAAAGTAGTGCATGACATACAAAAAATTAATAACCTTTGATTTATCTGAAGAATGAAGACTGTGAAAAGTTACATAAAGAGTTTTATATGTAAACAAATTAATTTTAGAAATTAAAAACAAACCTTAGAAATAATGAGATAAAGACTTGGAAGTTTTCACAAAGCACTTTTTTTTTTTGCGGGGCAGGGGGGTGGTGCTAGGTAATGGGGTTAAGTGACTTGCCCAGGGTCACACTGCTAGTAAGTGTCAAGTGTTTGAGGCTGGATTTGAACTCAGATCCTCCTGATTCCAGGGCCAGTGCTCTATTCACTAGGCCACCCAATTAGCCCCTAAAGAGATTTTTTTTAACTTAACTGAATGACTTGTATTTATTGCACAGAAACAATGAATAGTTTAGAGGTTTTAAAAAAGGTCTCAAATTTTCCTTGAACTGCACCATTTTTGTTCTTACCTCCTGATGGTTGTCGAGATTTGCGTGGTGATCGGGGCTCTCGTCGATAAGGATCATTAGAACCATATAATTCAATGGTGCCAAGGTTGAGAAGCACTGCTTTCTGGAGATAATCAACCATTGCAATACCATTACAATTGCCAAAAACTACTCTGGGAATAGAGAAATAAAAAAAGATTAAGTTTCAAAAGAAAAAGAGAACTAATTAGTAAAATTCCATTTTAACATTTGTGATAGGAAAATAAAGATATACATTTAGCAGACTTTCTTTTCAATATTATGGTACAAGAAATTAATTAACATGTTCATGGAGCTATGCTTTGTTGTATCCTATATAAAACCTAATTAAATAATATACTAGAGAAGTAGAATGGCATAGCTGAAAGAATGATGGGTTTGGAGTCAGGAACACAACAGGTCAAATCCTGCCTCAGATGCTTAGTAGATATTAGACTACAAGAAAGTTACCTAGTGGCTCTGATTCTAAGGCAGCTTTCTATGTCTATTAGATAGAGAGAAGTTGTGAGATAAAATAGTAGAAGGAGTTTTCATACCAAATAAGTCAAAGAATCCTTGATATATTGTGTGTAATACACTATTTCCATTATTTATCTGTTTACAAGTTCATTAGGGGTTACAAAAATAATTACAGCTAGGTGTTTATTAGTGTGAATAATGAATCCTCTGATGTGGTCACAATATTTGAATTAGCACTGCATCTTTCCATTATGCTGGAACCAATGACTATATTTTACATAATTATAACTTTGAACAGTATGAATTTGAAGACACACAACCACTTTATGAGATTCATTATTTGCACTGATCAGAACCTGTCCCTATATACAGACAAATATATATATATATATATATATATATACATATTTTTACACATACTGTTAAATCTACATGCATGTGTGTGTGTGTGTGTATATATATGTATATATGTGTATATATATATACACACATATATATATGTATGTATGTATATATGTGTATATATATATACATATATATATATACATATATATATATATATATATATATATACATATATATATATGTATGTATACAGCATCCAACTACAACACTGTATTTTAGGTTCATGCTATAGATTGTTACAAATTAGGTCATGCTATAGAAAGAACAACAAGATGCTTTCCAAGAATTTCTATTAGACCAAAGTGTCAAGATAAATACTCCAGGGGTGGATAAAATAATATTACAATTTTACCCTAAGTATTACATTGCTTTATCAACTACTTTTATGTCAGTGCAATGTTATCAAAGAAGATTATTTACTATAGAATAAAGTGCATACGCACAAAAAAGATGTCGATATTATAACAGTATCAATTTATAATTTAGATAAAGAGAAGAAAGAATAAAGCCACATTATGAAGATATTGGTAATAAACTCAATTTATACTTACATGCCATAGGAGGAGTTGACAGCAAGGCTAGTTATTTGTTGTGGGGGTTCTCCACCTACCCACACAAGCTGAATAACCAGCTCTGTCTGATAGCCTGGAGACTGCTTTAGAGGAGAATTTTTAACCCTGAAATAAACCAAAATGCATTACTTTATTTCTACTCTCCTTTTAATTATTCATTATCCTGAAGCTTTAGGTGAAAACATAATATTAATTGATTCACTTAACAACTTTTTATTGAGAATACGTATTTTGAAGGCATTGTGCAAAATAAGCAAAAATTATAAGGTGTAAAATTGCCCTGTAGAAGTTTTTATATAGGCATGTAAGATAAATATCCTTATTTTAAGACCTTATATAAGTGCCTGATTAGTGACAAATATCACAAGAGTTATAGGCATTGAGCAGAAGGGGAAGTTATTGAGCCCAATCTGACTAGACATGAGATTAATAAACTCCATAACAAGAACAAGGCACTCCCAGATTACTTCTATTACATAAATACTCGGAAAAGGAATTCCCTCTATAATTCCTAAGAAGTGGTTATCCATTTTCTGCTTGAAGGTATTCAGTGATGGGTAACTTGCCTACTTCTTGAGGTAGGGACATTCCAATTTTTTAACAATGAATTATTATGGCATTTTTTTTCTTACACCAAACTGGATTCTTATTTTTGCAACTCTTTCCTATTGCTATTAGTTCTGCCACTTAAGATCAAAGAGTAGAAATACCTTTCACAAAAGAAAATTCTACTTCTGGCTTTCAAGAAATAGAAGCACTTGCTCTGAAGGAAGAAGACTTATGAAGATGATTTGGAAGACTTAGGAATTGTGGGACGAAAAAAAGCATGGATTTGGGAAGGGACATTTGGGAGGACTTGAGGAATTGAATGAATCTAGCTACAGGAGGAGAACAAAAAGGCAGTTGTTAAGGCAAAGCAGGTAAAAAGTGAGTGAAAAAAGGAAAAGAAAGCCAAATGTACCTGTCACGTAATAAAGTGCTAATATGTTGAGAAAGCTCATAGTTTTAGATAGTAAAGGACCTTAAAACACATCAAAATCAATCTTCTTCATTTTTTTACTGATAAGGACATTGACACCTAAAGAAGTTAAATGACTTGCTCAAAATTACAAAGGTAATAAGTGGCAGAGGTGGTATTCAAACCCATGCTCTTTGACATCTTCAAGAGATTGACAAGCCAGTAGATAAAGGTACCCAAAAGAGTTTGTCACAGCAATTTTCCAGGGAAGCTGTTAATAGAAAAGTACTGATGATCTCACTTAGGATAGGGTGGTGTCTGCAGTGACCTGCACTGATTGAATGATGTCTCCATTTCTGCCACAGCCAAATGACTATCTATGCTCAAAGTTCAGATAACTCAGTCTCCTAGAAGAGAAGGTGAAGAGGCTTAAACAAGACTTCTCAAGTCTCTAGGCTGTTATAGAGAATGAAGTGTTTTTCAAAACAATGAGGGAAGGCTATGCTTTAATAGGAAGACAAAAAATAAAAAGAAGATGAAGAACCAAAGGGTTGAGGGAAGAAGGAGCAGGGGTAATACTGACCTGTTCCAGGTCTGTCAGTTGAAGAATGTTACATAGGCAAAAAGAAAGAAAAACTATTTGGTATTTGGAAAAGACATTATAGATGGACAACGAATTGGGCCTGGAATTAAACAAGGGGAGAAAGAGAGCCTTATTGGACTATCTTCAGGAAATCTTAGACTTCCTTTAATGATTTCAAACTTCTCACAGAGATGAAGGCCCATCATTTTAATGCCAGTATTGTACTGGTAGTGTTATAAGGCTGTAAGTCAGGGAAGACAAAAATCTCTCAGAGTTGCAAGAGGCCAACAGAGGCCGTCTGATTCAACACCTTCATCTTACAGATGAGAAAATAAAAACTGAACATCATGTAAAAAGAAGTCTCAACTACAAAGAAGAACCTGGATAAAAGATGTCATCAAAGGAGCATGTGATCAAAAAGCAGACCAAGTGATCATGTGGCAAGAACAAGGGCTGACTGTTCGAAGATCTACATACTTTACTACTAGCCTCACAATGTCAAGAAAAAGAGGAACATCCTTAGTACACTGGATGTATCCCTTGCTGTTAACTTATGAGAGGACACGTGTAAGAGTTGACAAGAATTGACTGTGATCAATAAGATCAAAGATTCACTTACGGAGTTGAGATATTACTAAAGTTTATGGGATGAGATTTATGACTCTCAAAGGATATACTTTATTAAAAAAAACAGGATAGGTAAAAAGGGGAGGAAGGATGTTGGAGTATCAGAGCCATAAGTAAGGTAGGATGACTGGGGTTCCTGAGCCCTAAAATTTAAGAACCCCACAATGATACTATCATGCCAGGAGCCACACCACTGGTGAGTTCCTCTCCATCCTCTATGACAGGATCTTCCCTCCTGGAATGGGATTCTTATATGCACCATAAAAAGCCTTAGCCCCACTGTGCCCTCCTCAACTGCAGTCAAACCTTCACAAAGGCAGAAATGTTGTTGTGCACTAAGGTGTGCTTCTAACTTACTCCTAGCCACTGAAATGCAAATGAGTACCATAAGTACTTTCTGGCCCCTACCCTATTCTCATTTGTTATAGATAAAAGCATTCTTAATTATCACTATACAGTAGCTTTGTATATTAAAAAATACATGTATATACAAACATATGTGTGGTACACATACATATTGTATACATGTGCACATGTGCACATTACATGTTTGTGTGTATGTCTATTCATGATAGGAAATCCTGGAATAAGTAGGAGATAAACATGGTAAAGAACATTTGACTAGCAACTAATAGAGACAGAAACAGAAGTAACATTGCCATTAGTTTATTAAAACTTAGGATCACACAGATTTAGAGAGCTGGAAGACATCAGAGAGGCCATCTAGACCAAGTCTTTCACTAGGCAGGTGAAAAACTGAGATCCAGGTAGGTTAAATACTTTGCTCAAATCACAGAGTTAGTTGAGGTCACAGAGAGGCAGGATTGTTTTAAACCCAGGTCCCCTGACTCTAGTATCCACGTTCTTTCCACTACACTGGAAAGAGAAAATAGATGAAGATACAAGTCTAGCACAGGAGCACGATATAAAAATGATGGAGGAATTTCATTTATCTGGACAACTGCACTCTCTCTGGTAAACGCAAAGCCATTTAGTAATTTTTTTTAACTTTTAATTGATAATTTGGTCCCATCAATTATTTTCCAATCAAGATTCTTGCACATAAAATAGCTGAACAAAACCAACAAATAGTGTGGTTATACAACACAAGTAACTTTGCATTCTTATACTTTAAAGTTTTTTAACAGGAAGGAAATATGTTTTAATTTTAGCCATCTGGAACCAACATTAGTTACTGTATTTTCACCTGAATTTTATTGCCACTGGTGTTTTCATTCACAGCATGGTAACCACTGTGTGTACGGTTCTTTGGCTACCGCTTACTTCACTCTGCATCTGTTCACACAATCACAGAGCATAGATTTAGAAACTGAAGGGAACACAGAGGCCAGAAGTCCAACCTCTTCATTTTACAGATGAGGAAGCTTAGATAACTAGCACTGAGTCATGCACCTATTAAACGTCTGAAGTAGGATTTGAATTTGGGTCTTACTAACTCTAAATCCAACACTATCCACTTCACTCCCTAACTTGCCTTCATAAAAATTGTTTTTTTTTTCCCTGATACTTCTCTGAATTCTTCACATTTGTTGTGCTTCACAGAACAGGGTTTACCATCAGGATAGTTTACCCATCTCTACACAAGCAAAAGTAAAGTACAAGTGAAGCTTAAAGAAATGCAGGATTCTTGGATCAGTAAGAAGGCAGATCAGTTTTATACTGATAATAAGAAGCCAAAGTGCTTCTATGATGCCCTGAAGGTTATTTATGGACCAAAGACCCATGGTGCATCTCAACTACTCAGTACTGACAGAGCCACACTGATCAGTGGTAAGGACATGATCTTGAAGAGATGGGCTGAACACTTCCATAGTGTTCTCAACAGGCTCCATCAACCAATGTGGAAGCCACTGACTATATACCTCACACTGAAGCCTCTCCAGTCAAACTTTTAACTGAAGAAGAGATTTTGAATGCCATTACACTTCTCTCATATGGCAGTTTCTGGTGCTGATTCTATTCCAACTGAGATTTATAAGCCAGGGGGTTCACTGCTCATACAAAAGCTGACTGAAATTTTCCAGGTTATACTGTAAGAAGAGATTATCCTCCAGGAGTTCAAGAATGCCTCCACTGTCCATCTCTATAAAGGAAAAGAAAATAGGCTGTCCTGTGACAATCACAGAAGGGGTCTCTCTTTTCGTCACTCCTGGCAAGAATCTTGCCAAAGTCCTCCTTAACAGGCTGATCCTTCACCTGGAAGATGGTCATTTACCCGAGAGCCAACGAATCTTCAAAAAGGACCAAAGGACAGTCAATGTGGTATTTGCTGCCTGACAACTCTAGGAGAAATGCCAAAAGCAAAACAGAGGTCTGTATACAATGTTCATTGATCTGACTAAGGCCTTTGATACTGTCAGTCATGAGGGCTTGTGGAAGATCATAGTAAAATTTGGTTGCCCTGAGAAGTTCATTAGCATTGTATGCCAGTTCCATGACAGTATGCCATGGGTTCTAGATAATGGGCAATGCTCTAGTGCTTTCCCAGTCACCAATGGAGTGAAGCAGGGCTGTGTGCTTGCTCCCATGCTTTTTAGTGCAATGTTGTCAGACTCCTTCAATAAGGATGAAAATAGCATCAAGATCAGCTGCCATGCCAAAAGTAAATTACTTAACTTGAAAAAGCTATAAGCCAAGACTAAAGCAGATGGAGAGGTTGCACATGACTTTTTGTTCACAAATGATTGTGTGCTCAATGCAGTCTCTAAGGGTGAGATGCAGTGAAGTATGGATTGATTCTCTGCCACTTGTGCTAATTTTGGCCTGACAATTAACACCAAGAAAACCAAGATTTTCCACCATCCAGCACCACACACGCCATTAATATACAGCAAATGGAGAAATTTCAAATGCTATGGATATGTTTGCTAACCTGGGTAGCATATTTTCCAGGGATGTACATATAGATAATGAGGTTGACATGTGCAGTGCCAGAGATAGCTCAGTATTTGGGAGGCTCCAAAGGAAAGTGTGGGAGAGAAGAGATATTATTAGCCTGCCTACCAAACTGATTCTACACAGCTGTTGTACTGATCTCATTGTTATATACCTGTGAATACTGGGCAGTATATGCCAAGAAATTTAATTGCTTCCATTTGAATTGTCTTAGGAAGAGCCTGAAGGTCACCTGGCAAGACAAGCTACCAGACACTGAGGCCCATTCTCAAGCATAACTTCAAACATTCAAACCCTACTTCTGAGAGTGCCATTCCAATGGGCTGGCCATGTTGTTCAAATGTCAAATGCACATTTGGCTAGAAGACTTTTACAGAGAACTCACACAAGGCAAGTCCTCACAAGGAGGTCAGAAGAAGCAATACAAAGACACTCTTCTCAAGGACACTGAATGACTTTGGCATCATTTGTGAGACATGGGGAGACAATGGCACGGGATCATCTAACATGCCATGTCTGCATCAAAGGAGCTGTGCTCTATGCACAAAGTAGAATTGCAGTACCTCAAAAGAAATGTAAGATGCACAAATTTAGAGACATCTCCATACTAAATGTTCACATGGGCTGTTTGTGTCCAACCTCTGGTAGAACCTTCTAAGGTCATACTGCTCTGATCAGTGAGTCAGACACTCTGTAGATTGATCCCAAAAGAGAGATGCCATTTTGGTTCTCTTCAAATACGAAGGACCAACCAGCTTCACAGGGCATATCACCCTATTACATTCATACACCACAATTTGTTCAGCCATCCAAATCATGGGGTAATGTTTATAGCTTTTTTTCTAACTACAAACAGTGCAGTCTTTAATCTCCTTAGGGTAAATATGCAGTGGTGGGATTGTTAAATCAAGAGGTATGAACAATTAACTAACTTTTCTAGTATTCCTAAAAGGTTGAACTAATTTACAGCTCTACTAAATGTCTTCCCTTCTTTACTCTCTCACAACACTCATTTACTGTCTCTGTGCATTTTGATGCATATAAGGTGATATTTCTGAGTTGTTTTAATTTTCGTGTCTTCTATTACTAGTGATTTTATTTATATATAGCTATTGAGAGCCTGAATTTCTTCCTCTGAAAGCTGTTCATATGCTTTGAGCATTAATTAACCATATCTTGGGGTCTTGGTACAATAGATTTGGGTCAATTCTCTATTGCCTATTTTGGATGTAATTCCTTCATTAGAAATGTCTGGTGCAAAGTCTCCTTCCACTCCTGTAATTCATTATTTTTCTTTTTATTAGAGATGCATAGATTTTGTCTGGAGTCAGGAAATGGAATGTCTTGTATAAGGAAGAGTAAGGAGACCTCCTGTCACTGGATCAAAACGTATGTGGGGGTGAGTAAGGTAAAAGAAGACTGGAAAGATAAGAAGTGAGGTTACAAAGGTCTTTGAACGCTAAAAGAGAAGATTTCATTTTTGAGACTGGAGGTGACTGATAGGGAGTCACTGGAGTTTACTGAACAGCCTTTACACAGGCTACACTCAAAGCCAGAAAGACACTCTGTCCTCGCTTCCTCTTCTTAAAATTCACAATTCTTGAAAGCTCTCCTTGAATTTCACATCTTACATGAGACTGTTTCTCATGCCTGCTTCCTCTACCCCTCAGCAACCAGAACCTGAATTTACTACTTGAAATTACTTAGAATCTACCTGAAATAACTTAGAAATTTATGAACATGTTTCCTCCTAAATACAACCTGCTTGAGGGCAGGGACTGTTCCAATTTTTGTACTTGTATCTCTAGTACCTAAAATAGTGCTTTGCATATAGATGTTTATTAAACTTTAACAACTGACTGACTGATATGAAAAGTATATATCACATGTTGGAGACACCATAGCATAAAAGGAAAAGGAATGTCTTGAAAGGCTCACTGACAAAGGAAGAGATTTTGGTTTTTTGTTTTTGTTTTTATTTTCCCAGGCAAAGGGAACATTTTTAAGTACTTCCCAATAGGGAAAAGCAGAGAAACAAACAAAATGTCAAAAAAGAATTGGAAGGAACATATTGTAAACATATAGAAGTCAATCATTACTTTCTTTAAATACACCAAAGCCAAAATGCCAGAATCGATAAGGCTACTTGATTATCACAGTGTACAAATGGTCACTGATGGTAGAAAGGAGATAAAAAAGGACTAAAATAATTACTTGCCTCTCTCTTTAATAAGTAAGAGGTTAGGTGTAGTACTATTCCAAATGGTCTTTAAAGAATAAGGGACCAGGAGATGTTATACAATGTATATATGAATTTCTTAGTATATGATTGAGTTAACAGTTCAGACCTCAGAGTTCAGTCCTGAGAGGGGTCTTATATTGTGTTTTTATAGTTGATTTGAAAGTACACACATACATTTCACAGTTTACAAAAGATAGTAATTTCAGGTAGGGAAATACCAAACCAGCAGGATAAATTACAGAATGATCTCTAAAGACTATGTGAGCAAATAGCAAGTTCTATATGAGCTTCAATAGTAATAAGCATTTAGGCAAAAAGTAATCTAAATTATATTTTAAAAGTTTCTAGTTATGCCCTAAGAAAAGGATACATCTCCCAAATACATTGGTATGATCAAAGAGGGTAACAAAATTAACCATTAAGAAGGAAATAAACAAAACATCAGCACTAAGCTAAGATACATCTGACCTTTGGATGCTGTATATGTTTCTGTTCATGGTTCCTCAAAACAGATAATGAAACTGGGAGATACTTATGAATACAAACTGAAAAGATACATTAAGGGCGGAAAACTAGAAAATGTGAAAAACATTCAAATTTAGCACAAAATTACAAAGAGCTTCAAAAAGACCTGGATAAATATATCAAGTCTAATACATTCAGGGGAATTTCAGAGCTTTGGGAGGAAGTCCTTAATAGTTAAATACCCTATTACATAATGTCCATTGGTACTGTTGTCAGAACACTGTGTGACCAGAACATTGGTCAAACTCAAAAAAGATAATCTTGTTTCTATTCTACCTCAGAACCACTAGAATATCATTTTACCAGAATTTACATTACATCCAAATAAGTGATAAGAAACACTAGTAAAATACCATAGCCCCTCAAAATTTCTAAGTACTTAAAACTTACTTTAAACATGGGACATTGTCACGAAGTCCATCAGATGAACTGCTACTAGTTGATGGATGAGACTGAGGAGGAATAGGTGGAGGATTGGAACCTCCTACAGGTGTTGGCAATGGTGGAACTTGTTCAAGCTCAGGTGAGTCCACGTCATTTATCTCATATAATAGTCGTATTTCAAGCATCTATAGCAAAATAGAAAAAATAAAAAGCAATAGGCAATTAATGAATTCTCTATACTGCTTACTTTATTTTTATTGATATGTTTTATATCACTTTCACTTCCCAAGATATCATTCCTCTCTTGCCTACCAAGAGAGGTATCCTTTTGTTACAAATAAAAAAGAAGAAAAAGTTCAGTAAAACTAACAAGCATGCCAACCAAGCCTGACATTGTGTGTGACAGTGTATACCTATAGGCCCCTACCTCTGCAAAGAAGGAAAACAGATGCATTTTCTCATCTCTTCCTCAAGACCAAACCTAGTCACTATATTTATAGTATTCTGTTTTGTAACTTATTTTGTTATTTCCATTTAGTTGCTGAATTTATTGTACATAGTTTCAGTTTATGTTTACTTCACTTTGCATTAATTCACATAAGTCTTTCTATGGTTCTCTGTATTTTTCTCAGATTTGTAATTTCTTATAGTGCAATAGTATTCCATTACATTCAAGTATCACAATTTGTCTGGAAATTTCCCAATCAATGGCATTTATTTCCAGGTCTACAAAAAGTACTGCTATAAATATTTTGGAGTGTGTGATGTATATATGTGTACATATATGTAGATATATGTATATACATGTATAACCTTTGTTTATTATCATTGATCTCCTTTGGGATATTATGCCTGTTAGTGGGATCTCTCTCTTTTTTTCTTTAAAGTATAATTCCAAACTGCTATCCAGAATTTCCAAACTGATATCTAGAAAGGACTACTACTCCTTCAACACTGACTATTCTCATTTTTTTCAGTCATCTTTGCCAATTTGCTGAGTATGAAGTAAAATGTCACAGTTGTTTTGATTTCTATATCTTTTATTAGGCATTGGAAGAAATCTTTCATATGGCTAGTAATGGCCTGCAATTTGCTAGAAAACTTTTTGTTCTTATTCTTTGACATTTATACACTGGGAGAGTAGCTCTTAGTCTTACATATTTATATCAGTTCCCTCTATATCTTGGTTACTGGACATTTATCATAGATATTTCAGGCAAAGATTTTTTTACCTAGTTGTACTGATTTTGTGAAAAAAGCTTTCCAATTTCACATAACCAACAGGCTCTTTTTATCTTTGGTTATCTTTGGTTACAAATCCTGTATCCATTTGGAGCCTATCGCGACATAAGATGTAAATCTAAATCTAATTTCTACCAAACTGCTTTCCAGTTATTCTAGAATTTGGTGTTTAATAGTAGTTCTTTGCCAATACCTGGAAAGCCTTGTACGAGCTCATGCAAAGTGAAATAAGCAGAACCAGGAGAACACTGTACACAGTAACAGCAACATTGTGCCATGACTACCTTTGATACACTTAGCAATGCGAGGATCTAAGACAACTCCAAAACACTCACGATGGAAAATGCTATCCACATCCAGAAAAAGAACTATGGAGTCTGAATGCAGATTGAAGCATACTATTTTCTCTTTTTTTTGTTTGTTTCTTCTTTCTTGTGGTTTCTCTCACTCGTTCTAATTCTTCTTTACAACATGACTAATGTGAAAATGTGTTTAGTATGAATGTACATGTATAGCCTATATCAGATAGCACGCCATCTTGAGAAGGAAGCAGAGAAGTGAGGGGAAGAAAATTTAGAACTCGAAATCTTATGGAAGTGAATGCTGAAAACTAAAACCAAACAAATAAATTTAAAAACAAAACAAAAACAAATCAATGCAGAACTCATCATCTATTATATTGATTAAGTTTAACCATAAGCAATAGATAGACAACCAATTATTTGCTGTTTTTCTTTAAAAAGTATTTTGTAAATGTATCTACACAAGCCTTGAGACTAACTTGCAGATATATTATGTGTTTTATAGTTATTTAGAATGGGGTTATCCTCTCTATTAGATCCCCTTCATTTTGCTATTACTAAATAAGTGGTACTGATTTATGTAGGTTCACTTTGTAGCTTGCTACATTCCCAAAGCTTTTTATTATTTCAATTATTCAATTATCAGCTTTGCTGTTTAGCTGGGCTTTTCTAAGTCACTACATCATTATTAAGTAGGGATACAATCACAGGAATTCAGATCAGAAATCTAGAGCTAGAAAGGACCCTAGATGTCATTTAGTTTAATTCTCTCATGCTACAGATGAAGAAACTGAGGTCCCAAGAAGTTACATGACTATCTCATGGTCACAAAGTTAATAAGTGGCAGAGCTGAAATTCAAACTTAAGTCCTGAGACTCCAAGTTCAGTGCCTTTTCCATTGTATAATGGATAATTCTGTCTTGTTTTTTTGCTTGTGTTAAGGCTACCAATTCTTTCAACTGTTTTATCATTAATAACATTTTTAAACCATGTCAAGTAACAGTGGGGAAAAGTAGTATATCCTTGTTTTATCCTTGTATTTACTGGCAAAGCTTTAAGTGTTTCCTTACTGCAAATAATGATAGCTTGATGCTTACTCCAAAAGCTGTTTCCTCATTCACAGATACACTTCATAAGTATACTGTGAAGGCAGACTTTAGGGATGCAAAAGAACATAATTAATCCTAATTTAGTTTTTTCTAAGCAATTATGCTTTTGAATATAATTTATATGAAGTTAATATCACACCTAGAGAGTCATAAATTTTAAAAGTCCTTAGAAGATTTTAAAAAAAAGTTACTTAAAGATTTAAATCAAAGGTTCTTAACCTAGGGGTCATGAACTTTTTTTCTCTAATAGTTCTTTTCTTTTGGTTAGGCAATGGGGTTAAGTGACTTGACCAGGGTCACACAGCTAGTAAGTGTTATGTGTCTGAGGCCGGATTTGAACTCAGGTCCTCCTGACTCCAGGGTGGGTGCTCTATCCACTGCGCCACTTAGCTGCCCCTCTAATAGTTTGTTAACTGCATTTCAATAATCTGCTTTGTAATATTATGCATTTAATTTTATGCACTTAAAACCATTATTTGGAGAAGGGGTATACAGGCTTCATTGGAATGCCAAAGGGGTCCATGATACAAAAAAGATTAAGAACTCTTGATCTAACAATTCTCTGTAAAAGGCCTTAGAAAAGGTATTTTATTTATTTTTGCTTTTTGGTAAGGCAATTGAGGTTCAGTGACTTGCCCAGTGTCACACAGCTAGTAAGTGTCAAGTGTCTAAGGCCAGATTTGAACACAGGTCCTCCTGACTCCAAGGCTGGAGCTCTATCCACTACACCACCTAGCTGCCCCTAAAAAGGTGTTTAATAACCCCCACAAATAACCACTAATGTCAAACATTTGGAGAACAACATTCATAGTACAAAAGTTTTAAATAATTCATAAATTTGAAAAAAGGCAGGCACTGGAAACCTTACACAAATAAGGGCCTATTACCGGAATAACTTCTGTTGTCACTTCTTGTTTGCTGAACCGATAGATAATGACATGTGCTGAGACACCAGCAATACACAGCATTCTACTTTCTGGACACCATGAAATTATCTGAATGGCATATGGATCTTCATCTACAATGTCTGTGTTTGGTCTGTCATCTTTATTTCTTGATTTTTCAAATACTTTAGATGTTTTTAGCTTATATAGTACTTGAAGTGTTACTAGAAAGAAAAGAAATGTTATACAAATTAATATAATCAAATGATGTTTCTATATACATTATTCATCCAGTTACTGTGTATCATTAATGACTTTTCCTCACATGAACAACATTCATCTCAACGGATATTTTCTATGTATGGCCCAGATAGATGTATGGCTACATTAGTAATTACCAACACAAGAGATCCTAATATCTTGAAAATTTCACTTATTTAAACAGATATAAGACAATGGAAAATTAAAACAATGTATATACACTACTCATTTTAGTAAACCTACATGTATGTAAGAAGACAGTCATTTTAGTGTATAAAAAATAAAGTTTCCTTACAGAAAAAAAAATTCATTACTGTCATTACATATTCTTAGATAGCAAAATATCCCACATTTATTTTGGGATTGTCCAATTATCAACCGGATCACTAACAAATACCAATAAGTACATGTTAATTGTAAGAAGGAAGTACTGGAAGAATCCTTTATACTAAATCTGTAACTATGCAGCAGAAATTTTATGACCTAAATTAGCGACCAGGATCTGAAATTATTTAGAGTATTCCACTATCAAGAAAAATAGCTTTTCTCCTCTCAAATATCTCTGTGTTGGAGAAGAAAAATAGAAGTAAATGAAAGAATCTGTACTTTTTTGTTGAGATTGCTCTTGATTAATTAAGACACTTATAGGTTCATTTAATGAGAGTCATCATGGAAGAGTAAATAAAGTGTTGGACTTTGATTCAAAAGACACAGGTTCAAGTCTCTCTTCTGACATATAAGCTTGTGTGGCCATGGGGCAGTCACTTAACCTCTCTAACCATCATGAAACACTGTAAGACTATACGTTACGGATAGATTGTGATGTATTTAGATGGAGGAAATTTGAATACTATGATTTTTCACAAAGATGAAATCATAGCTTTTTGCTCTGCTAATGCATTGACCTAGGTATACTGAATGTTTATTCAATCTTGAAAACATTTAAATATGGGACACTAAAGCTAATCTCATTTAAAGTTTGCTAAAAAGATTACTCTAAAGGATCATAATAAGTAATTATACAAAGAGAATATATATATTTGACATATCAAATATAAATAATTGAAAATTATCTAAATCACTTACTTGCAGAGGCATCCCAGAACTTGACAGACCCATCTGCATGCCTATGAAATCAAGCATGAGGCAAGAATGTGGTAAAAGCATAAGCAAAAATATCCACACATGTTTCTTCCTCAGTATAAAGAATACCTGCCAGCTTTAAATTTTGCATGTTCATTTTCTAATAAAAAAAATAAGAATTGCTTTGCCATGATAAAGAAAAAAGATAAAAATTAATGTCAAAATAACATGCCCTTCAAAGTAATATCTTTGTACTGTACTACTAATTACACAAATATCACAATGCAAAGGACTGTTTGAGTTAGTCAAAATCATATTTAGGTGAAGTTTATGATTTGGTCAAATTAGAATCTTACTTACCCAGTGATGATAATTTCAGGGTAACTCTGAGTACCCAATCCCCAGTTACCTCCACTAATAGGCCACTCCTATAAGAAAAGAAATAGCATTATATAAATGAATCACAGGACTCATTTAATTCAGCTACCAACTTCATATAAATATATTCAGATGCTAAAAATAAATACAAAGTACCTTTTTGCTGTAACCTTGGCGTTTCTGTCTGGCTCCAACGGAATAAAGTGCAGGGATAACATCCACAGGGCAATCAGCAAAGTATTCACAACAGGTAACTGGAGATTCATGTATACTTAGGGGATAGGGATTTTCAAATATAGGATACCTTTACAACAGGAAAAAAAAATTAAATCAAAACAATTTGAAACAAAAATTATTTAGCATTTGAATGCAAAACAAAAACGCAAATTATTCTAAATATCTATTATTAGATTTAGAAAAGTAATAAGTTCAAAAATCAAAATTTTGTCACAGCTTTAAAGTTTATACAATCCTCAAAACAATCACACAACAATTTGAATGTGAAATATAAACAATTTAGGCTAAAGTTGTATTCTATTTTTTAAATGCAACCCTATAAATGTAAATAGATTTCACCATAGGAAAGTATTATTTAAATCATTGTGCTATGAAATGTAGAACTCTTCCAAGTATGCCCAAAATAGGTCTTTAGAAAAGTATGAAACTAAATAAAAGGTATAAAATACTCGAAGGTGCACACATTTATTTTTTACTCTTCTCTCCTTGTCTTAGAGCTAACCTCAAATTTAACTACAAAGGTTCATATTGGATAGTTTCCTCATTTGTAAAATGAAGAGGATAGAGCTATGCTCCCTTTTAACTTCAAGTCTTTTGAATTAATAAAATGTATGGTTTTAAAGCATCTAATATACACAAAATACTAAATAAACAATGATTTAGATTAAAGCAATGAGTTCTTTAATAAGATCAAAAGAACCAGAAACCATTCCACTCACCACAGTCATTTATGCATCCTAAATAAGATTTAGTATTTAGTTAACCTAAACTTTTCTCAATAAAAAGAGCAAGTGGGGGGTGGGGTGGGGGGGGAGTGTAACGGGGGAAAGGTGGGGCAACAGAAGGCTCCTATAGGTAAGACATGATATAAAATAAAAAATTAACTTTGTACTGACAACATAGTAAATAAAAATTATTTTATGATACAGGTATTTTCCTAAAGCTCTTTCTAATAGTAACACACCACAGAGTTCACAATTTAGCTAAAATAATGATTTTATACTTTTTAATTCACTTTTAATCAATCAATAAGCATTTATTAAGAATCTACTTTGTATCTGACACTGTGCTGAGTAATGGTTATATACAAAAACAAAAGTGAAATTTTGATAGTGCTAAGTTCACTAGCAAAATCTTCTTACATACCTAATGTGAAAGAAGTACCACTAGGTTTCTCAATTATTTAATTAAAATGAACTTTAAGGTAATATTAAGAAATTACTTAAGGATATATAATTACAGGACTATATGAATCTTCTAATAATTTCGGGGTTTTTTGTTCTACAAAATTGTATTTTCTTGTACACTGTTTTAAGGTAGGATTCTGGAATTTGTAATAAAACAAAGTTGGGAAATAACAATTTTATTCACTAGAAAGAAGAAAATTTCACCAGAGAAAGGGCATTTCTTTCAACTCAAGCAAAGAAAATAACTCAGAAACTGCTCAGTTGAAATCAATCACAGAACTTCAATACTGAATTCTACTACAAATTAATCCTTTTGCTACCTTCAAAGTCACAAATCTTACCCATTTTGTGCAAGGTCTATAAGTACTAAATCCTTTTCCAGAAGTACAACCACAGCATATGGTTCTTGAAAATCTAAAATACCAAAACAAAAAAAAATTTTTTTTGAAAACATAAGAAAATAGAATGGAATTTAGAAATTTCCTGATGACAGTTTTAGTTGTCACTTGTTTCACTTTGCCAAAAACTTTATCTAACATTCTGACTCCCTGATGTTATGAAGCAAATTTTGCTAATACAATGACTTTCATAATATTTCAAATTCCTATGCCTACATATTATCAAGAAAATATAAATGAAAATCAGAATATTTATAAATTTAATTATCACCATTTCAGTATCATAGCTATACAAGTGTTTACAGGACAAAAAAAAATTAAGAGATTCTTTTTGCTTGTTATTGATAGATACATTAAATGCTGAATGGGGGATAATGACAACTCTGGCTACATTTTAATGGGCACTTATGAACACGTCTGCATACAAACAGTTACGTGTGTTTTCTTTGAAAGCTTTTACCAAAACTTAACAAAAATATAGTAACATAAATGAGGTTTATTAGGAAAACAAGTTAAAACTTTTATAAAACAGGCTCTGTCCCCAAGGAATTTCATCTACTATAAGGGTTATAACATATGTATATGTGTTTGTGTGTATACATATTTATTAAATATATAAACACATATATATGTATAATACAAGATTACCGAGGAGAGTGATAGTACTAATGATTGGGGAAATCAAGAAAATCTTTTCCTGAGGAGGTGGTATTAGTGATGAGCCTTAAAGGAAGAAAAAGACTTTGGAAGGTATAGATGAAGAGGTTAATATTCTGAGAACTACAAGTAGTTCACTCTGGTGACAAAATTGAGTTCTTGAAGGTAAGTGGAATAAGACAAGCTTGGAAAAAGTCATATTGCAGAGGCCTTAAATGTTAGACTGAGGAGGCTCTGAGGAGGCATGAAAGGTTTGTTTTTAGCAGTAGAATGTTATAGCCAGAAAACTGTGCTTTGGGATGAATTATTTTAGCAGTTATATGAAAGGGAGATGAGAGAGAGAGAGAGAGAGAGAGAGAGAGAGAGAGAGAGAGAGAGAGAGAGAGAGAGAGAGAGAGAGAGAGAGAGAGAGAGAGAGAGAGAGAGAGAGAGAGGGAGAGAGAGAGAGAGAGAGAGGAGAGAGAGAGAGAAGAGAGAGAGAGAGAGAGAGGGAGAGAGAGAGAGAGAGAGAGGGAGAGAGAGGAGAGAGAGAGAGAGAGAGAGAGAGAGAGAGGGAGAGAGAGAGAGAGAGAGAGGGAGAGAGAGAGAGAGAGAGGGAGAGAGAGAGAGAGAGAGGGAGGGAGAGAGAGAGAGAGGGAGGAGGGAGAGAGAGAGAGAGAGGGAGAGAGAGAGAGAGAGAGAGGGAGGGAGAGAGAGAGAGAGAGAGGAGAGAGAGAGAGAGAGAGAGAGAGAGAGAGAGAGAGAGAGAGAGAGAGAGAGAGAGAGAGAGAACACACCTGGAAAAAGGAAGACCAACTAGGATGCTATTCTAATGCAGGCAAAAAGTGATAAGTATCTGAATTAAAGTGGTAGCTGAAAGGGGCAGAGTAATTAAGGGAAGAGTCAAGGCTAACACTTTGTAGATTCAAACACAGTAACTGAGAAGATGGTAATCATCTCAAAAGAAACTGAAAAGTTTGGAGCAGATTTGCAGGGAAAGATAATGAATACTGTTTTAGACAAGTAGACTGATATGATGATGAAATATCCAGGTGGAATCTGAAAACTGGGTTGAATATTAACACACACATATAAATAGAGAAAGGGGGGAGACAGAGATGGGGGAGGGAGAGATTTTTAAAGAATGTATTAACTATAGAGTCAAGAGTATGACAGGAAAGTGAGACCTAGTGAGGGACTGGAAAAACAGAGAAGAATAGAAAAATTTAAGCTTCTCTTAAGGATGCAAAATATATTTAGGAGGAAAGGAGAAATGAATGATCAGAGGTGAAAATGTCAATTCAAAAATCATACAAGTGACACACTTATGGAATGGTGAGATCTAAGGTATGATCAGCCGTGTGGATGGTTCAAAAGGGAATGAAAGTGAAGGTCACAGGTGTTGAGGAAACTGATCGCTAGGAAGGTGATGGTGTTTGAAGTCCTCAAATATAAGGGTAGAAGTTGAAGTAGACAAGAAGTTGAAGTTTACTTGAATCAACTAGAAAATTTCTTGAAAAAAGAAAAAAGAAGGCTCAGATTCTTACAATCTAGCCAATAGCTCAAAGGCGCTCAGATTCCTTAAGAGCCTGGCTAATATGGCGGATCTTTATAAACCTTGTCTTTGACTGAAAGAAGGGTTGGGTCGAATTCTTTCGGACAGCACCCATGTGTTGTGATTTTGAGGTTCCAGCACCCTTAAACCTGATGCATCATCATATGGTTCTCTGACTGGGAAGAACTGCCTAATTCCAAGCTCTTCTCCAGCTAAGACTGGAAGGTATATAAACTTCCCCTCCCCCTTTTTTCCTGTCCTATAGTTGGGGTCACTCTCCAAGCACCTAGGAAGGCTTGGAGGTGCTTTTTGGGCAGACAGTTACAAGGCTGTCTCATACTCAGCCTGACACTCTTAGGCTCTTGGTCCAGCGGGTCTGTTCAAGACCATGGACCTGGGCATACCTTCGGAATCCATATCTGGAAGCGTAGGCTCAATCCTCTCAATTCTCCTGGTTCTAGGGAATTGGGAAAACTTCAGGTACTTTTTTGGGCTTTTGGTTTTTCTATTTGTTTCCCTGAGGCTTATTTCCAAATCCTCTTTTAAGGAGGGAGGGACTTCCAGCTCCCACACACCTTTTCAATTCTCGAAGATTCCCTTTGGGCTGTCTTTTACAAAATTTGGAAAAATGTAATTTCTCTAAAGAATTTAAAAAGAAAAGGCCGGAGTTCTTTTGTAACATCATTTGGCCTCAGTATCACTTGGAAAATTAGGAGGCATGGCACATGTGGGGGACATTACAGCAAAATACTCTCTCAGAGTTAAAATGATATTGTCACAGAGAAGGAAAAATGGGTGGAGATTCCCTACATAATGACTTTTGTTGAATTTGCTCATTCTTCATTCTCAGAAAAGATTGTAGGATGGTCATAGCTAGAGTCACCCCACAAATGGGGAATGGGGATCAACTAGACTTTTTGGATTACCATCTTTTTATGGCCCCCAGGACTATAGCAGCTCCCTTTTCCCAGCCTCTGTCAGCACCACCTCCCCATTTTCCTATATGTGCCAAGGTGCCCTTCCTCTGTGGCAGTCTGTCCTGGCCCTTCTGACTTTCATCCCATGGAATAGGGTTGTTCCTGAGGTTTGTGCCCCTCTATCCATCCCCCACAGCCTCGGGGTCCTGACAAGTGGGGAGTCCTTCCCAAGCTCTCCATCCTATCTGCCACCCTGGAGTCAAGGTCAGCACAGCACTACCAGACCCATGGTATGAAGGTAATAGCAGCAGGTTCCAGGGAACAGCAGGCAGGGCTGACTCGTAGGGCAGGGCAGTGGGAAGGGCTGACTCCTGGGGCAGCGGGCAGGCCTCACCCCCCCCTATTTTCCCTTTGCTCCCCCGTTTCCCATGCTCCTCCCTCTTTCCCTTGGTTTTCCTTCCTTTTTCCTCCAGCCTACTCCCTTTCATTCCATATCTCCCACCCTGCATTTTCTCCCCAGGCCCCTGCTCCAGAGGAGACCCCTACTCAGGACAAGGGTCTTGCCTTTGGCACCTCCTCCCATACCCTTCACCCTGAGGCAAGGACCACCCAGATCTTGGCCTCAGCCCCAGTCTAGGTGGTATCTCCTTCCTGGACCCTCTCCCTCCTCCAGTGCAGCTGATTTTTCCCCTAGCCAGCTGGCATTCTCCAGTCCCCTGCTCACAAGAAGTGTGACTTCCTATCTCCCTTCCTCCCCAGCCCCTATTCCCACAGCATTTTCAGGGCTTTTTCCCTTAAGGGAAGTTCCTGCCTCCCCCAATGAGACAACTAGGGTACACATTCCATTCTCCATTTCAGACCTCATTCAGGTTAAAAAGAAACTGGGGTGATACTCAGAAGTTCTCACTAAGTTTACTGAGGGCTTTAGGGAGGTGTCCCTACAATTCAAGCTTTCTTGGGGGGGACGTGCACCTGTTGTATCACTAAGGAGAAGAGGAGAATCTGAGAACAAGCTCAAAATATTTGGGGATCATTTGGCTAGCAATGACCCCACAAAATACCTCCCAAGAACAGCTGCTGTTCCCACTACTGGCCCAGGATGGGATTATCAGAAGACCAAGGATAGAGGAAAGAGAGACTATATGGTAATTTGCCTGTTAGAAGGCCTAAGAACTGCATGTCAAAAGCAAGTAAATTTTCAAAAAATTAAGGAAATTACTCAGGGAGAAAAGGAAAACCCTGCCCTTTTCCAAGACAGGCTAGTAAAAGCTATTAAAAAGTATACAAATTTGGATCCCAACTCTATAGGAGGAACAGCAATCCTTAGCATGTATTTCATTAATCGGTCTGCCCCAGATATTAGGAGGAAACTGAAGAAACTGGCAGTGGGACCCCAAACACCTCAGTCCCAATTATTGGAGACAGCTTTTGGAGTTTTTAACAACAGAAACTTAGTAGCAGCAAAGGAAAGAAAAAGAAAGGAAAGGGCTAGAGACAGAGAACATGAGTTCTCTGAGTAATTTCCTTGTGGCATCAAAAGCAGGTTTCCCCACTGCCAGAGTTGCCAGGAGCACCCTTGGGTCTTTTCCTGTCCATGGCAGCAGCCAAGAAACAGCTCTATGCCCCTTGCTAACAGGAAGCAGTTTCAGAAGCCGAGACCTTTGCCCCTTATCCCAAAAGAATTTGGGTCCCATTTGTTTGAGTGGGGAATGATGAGGATAGGATCTGGACCCCAGAAAAGAAAAAACCCTGGACTTTCCCACATGGTCAGATCTCTGGTGTTAGCCTGAGGCTATAATCCCATTAACTGGCCTTTCATTGTGGCTTCACCCAATCTCCCAATTCTCAGTAACCCTTACCCTAGCCTAGCCCTCCATTGTCTTACCTCCCTAAGCCCTCTGGCCACTTCCTACCCTTAATCATAGGTAGGCTCCATTCTCCCTTGGCCACATGGTCTAGGTCCCTGGCATTCTATTACCTCACATGCCCCAAAGACTACTTGGCCACTCCTAGATCCCTCCCACAATCTTTCTGTACATAAGGTCCATTAAGGTGCTCAGATTCTTATAATCTAGCCACTGCTCAGATTCTTCCAATCTAACCAATAGCTCACAGGAGCTCAGATTCCTTAAGAGTCTGGAGAATCTTTAATAAACATTGTCTTTGGCTGGAAAAAAATTGGCCTCAGAAAATTGGCAAAGATAAGAAAATACGAAAACAGCAAATGTGGGGTTTACAGCAAAAAAGTAACACTGTTGATGTAGAACTAGTTCAATTATTCAGGAATTATGCTTAGTGACAAAATGTACCTACCCTTTGACCCAGAAATCCAAATACTATGCATATAAAACAAGGCAGTCAAATAAAGGCAGGTTTCATATACCAAATACCATTTTTTTTGTGCTTCCAAATAACTGGAAATATAGTATATAACCTTCAATTTGGAAACATCTGAACAAATTGTGACACAAGAAAGTAATGGAATATTAGCACCATGAACAGACTTATGAGAACGAATTAAAAATAACCATATACAGGAAAATAATATATATGGTATAGAAGCTATCTCAGCTTACATGTACTACAGCTCTGATTTTCCTGTGATGGGAGATGATAAAATAATACCTCAATAATCCTGATCTCTCCCACGCCCCTAAAACATATTGATTAGTTGTTAAAACTAGCCTAATCTAAATGATCTTCAGATAACCCTTGAATTCATTTCCTTACTTAGTCTATATTTTATGACAGGATTTTTAAATTCAGACACACTGGAAATAACTGGACTTAGGAGATACCCTGGTTTCTATTAACACATAAAGCTTTTTCTTCACTTTAGTATTATAAGATGTTCTGATTCATTGAAGGGGTGGAAATAGTCTCATTCAGAAAACTGTTTTCCATAGTTAGCCAAGCATTGAAGAGAAACTTTAGACAAATTTTAACCAATAAATGAGAAAAATGCTTTTAATCCCACAATGATATTAACAAAACTTTCCAAGTTAAAAAAAAAGTAGACAATGATTGGCCTGGTGGATCACAGCTAAAAGGATCAGGACAGAATACTATCGATGGATGGATTAAACCTAAAAGGAGAGGTTTCTGAGTCATAATGGAAGAGAGAGGATTTTGAAGTGGCATTAGAGAACAAAGAACACACCAACTCCTATCTGGCTTAGTGCATCAACAGACATGAGAGAACCCAGCAGATGTAAGGGATTTGAAAAGAAAACACTTAGGATACAGGGAAGTTTATTAATAATAGTGCAATGGTTCCACAGCACACAAATGAAAACAAAGACCAGAAAGAAAAGGCACTAGGGAAAGCAATAAAATTAGAAACTGTGACAGCTGCATCCTCACCCCACAGTAATGGAATGTTCTTGTGACACAGACCCCTGATCTAAAAGTCAGACACAACTGAACAACAAGTGACAGCAAATGCAGTACAGGCAGTATGGCACAGTGGCTAGAGAGACAGTCTTGGAATTCAAATCATACCTCTGACATATACTGGCTATTTGAGCCTGAGCAAATCACTTCACTTCTCAGTGCCCCAGGCAACTCTCTAAGACTATATGCAATTGGCAAACTAGCTAGTGATCTGCATTCATTAAGGGAGTTTCTATGCCAATGAAATCAGAAGTCTGTACAAAACAGAGATTAAGGGATATTATATAGCTCACCATTTGGATACGGTGTTTCACAGAGTGTAAGAAAATCAACAATCGAATAGTCCATTTCCAGCACAGCTGTGCTTTTCCCATGCATAACTGTTAAACAAGGTCTCCTTCCTACAGTATCATAGGACAAACCTCCTGAAAGAATGATAAAAGGTTCCCTGAAAATGAAAAAGAAACACTTATGGTTATGAAATGTGTAGATTGGGTTTCTCATACATTACTATCATTTGATAAAATTACCAAAAATATCTATATATTAATGAATTATTATTATGAAAAAAAATCCATATTAATTTTGTCACAACCAAAAAAAAGTTTTTAAAAGCTTATCTATGATAAGGAAAAATGTTCTTTATATTTTAGTATGAGCTATCATTGTGCCGTCTCTTATCATTCATATTTTTTTTCTTCTCCTAGATTTAATTAAAAAGCAAAGTCCTAGCAATGGATCCTCTTAAGTGTTGCTGAGGTTCATTCCCTTGTCATGCCTCTCATTCTAATAGCACTACTACCTCAGTCACACTCCCATTAATTCATTACAGGGTCAAAAGCAATTGTCTCCAATTCCAGGTTCTTCTCTAAATCATCAACAATGTGGCTCAATGAGTTTTCCTAAAACACACTGTTTATTATTCCTTAACTATATACCTTATAAAGTCTAAAATTCCCCAATGAAGTTTTTAAAACCCATAATTATCTGGTCCATCACACCTATCAAACTATATTTTCAATTACTTTCGAACTTGGATCTCTAACTCCAGACAAGACAGTATGTTGATATCTACTTTATTGCCATTATTCATGATATTTTCAATATTAAAAATGCCTTCCTCTCTCATTTTTTTACCTATGTAAACCATATCCCTCCCTTCATAGTTCAAAGTTATACTTTTTGCATGAAGGCTTGCCTCAATCACCAAACCCTCAATAATCTTTCTCTTCTCTTAACTTCTTAGAATTGACATCACTAAATTTATCAGTCTGAGTTATATCATGCAATATATCCTATAATCTGTTCCAAGAATCTGAGTCATGTTTCATTAAAATAAATTGTATAGCCCCATTTTTTAGCTTCTCTTATATCTCTAAAAGTGTTTAGTATATATGGTAGGCGATCAATAAATATTTGTTGATTGAAAAACATAGGTAAAGGAAGCGTGTTTCTTTTGTTCTGCCATATTTCTATCCTTCACATTCAGCAGCTAGATCTAACAATTTATTATTGGTCAGATAGTATGCACTTTATATACCTAGTACACATCATACTAGGTAGAATCTCAAAAATAAATAACACGAAGTTCCTGTTCACAAGTAGTTTATGCTATGTGTGCACAGATAAATATAATACAAATAAGAATATAAGTTTTTTAATTTTAAAAATCAAATACTAGAAATCCAGAAGATGAAATACTCCAAAGTCAGGGGAGTAATAATTACTATTATCATCATATAAAAGCTTTGAGGTAGTATTTTTCCACAACTCTCCCAGAAGCTTCCCACCAGGGATACAAGCCCCAACTGAAATGGCCCTCTTCTGAAGGAGGAAGAGCAACTGTTTGGAGGCTTTATTGGACCTGTAGTTTATAAAGATTCCATATCAGTATCTCTATGGTCTTGAGTTCCACAATTATCTTTAAGACTAAAGCTTACCTTACCTTGATTATATAAGTAATATGAGGGCCTAATGTCTCCAAAGAAGTCAGGCTCACTGTACACATTCAATAAGTCTAACTTACGGTGAATAGCATGGCTAGTGTTCCACAGGTGAATACAAGACAAGGTTTCCTTTTGCTTCCTGGGTTCTATGAAACTAAGGGGATATCTGGCTAATATTTACTGTGCAACCACAAATGTATGCCTGAGCTGGTGGGGCTAGGAGGAATATCAAGGAGCACTGTGGAGAAACACAACCTACTCAAAAATTTTCTGATTCATCAGGGAGAGAAAGAAAACTTTCAGGGCCACATAGTTCTTTTAAAAATACTTCTGACCAAAATCAAAGTTATCAATAGTCATGAAAAAGTGCTCTAAATCACTACCAATTAGAGAAATGCAAACTAAAACAACTCTGAGGTATTACTTCAACCTATCAGATTGGTGAAAATGACAGAAAAAGAAAATGAAAGATGCCAGAGAAGATATGGAAAATTTGTTTCTGCTTGTTTGGCCCTGATGACATTCCTGACATGTTCTGATACAAACAGGTACTCTTAAAGCAACTGATAAAAAAAAAAAAGTCTTTTAATTTGCTCAGCATGGAAATACCAGAATTGCCCTTTTAGAAAATACTTATAATTCCTTTATCAAATATGGAAGAAGTAAAAGAAGAGCTCTTCTTCAACCCAGACAGTAGTTTATTTTCTTGGGTAGTTAGCAAGGTTGCAAATGGGAAGCTAGGATCTAGGCATTCTAAAAGAAGGGAAACCACAATTTTTACCAATTACATATGCTGTTCCTGGACAATATTTGAATGGAACTCAAACCAGCACCCATGAAAGTTTGTTGCAAGACTGAGGAACCTAAAAGAAACCAAAGGGCTGGTAAAGGATTGGAGAGACTCCTCAACTAGGCAATAAGCAATTTTCTAATCATGAATATTTCCTTTAAAAGAAGCACTGGATAAGCTGAGGATAGATGAATAGAGAAATACAGATATAAAAAGAGATATTTCCTCCATGTACAAAGATATGTATGTATAGGAATATCTATCTAAAAGAAATTGATTACCTTTAAAATAGAAAATAACTTGTTAGTGTTGTGGAAGTCATTTCTACATCAGTTCTCTGATTAGTCAGAATAACTTCTTATATCAAAAGATCAAAATCAGTACCAAATCAGATTAAAAATAAGAAAATATGGTGCTTAACTGAGGAAACTTTGAACGTGACCTATTTTTAAAAACTAAAGATGTACAAAAATGGGAGTGGGATTTTTTAAAAAATGTATGGGCACAAACTAATACCATTTTTTAAGACTAAAAAATTTAAATTCAGTTGAGGAGACCAAATGAACCTAAAAGAACATATTCCATCAATAAACGTGATCTATTTCTCTAAGTGAGAAGGTAACAACCAAAAGCAATACCGGTATAGAATAAAACTGGGTTTATCAAATTTTACAGACACCACTGGTCAAATATTATGAACCATAGTACCTCCTATAGAACTGAGAGTTGGAAGCATAGCTTGGTGAAAGGTCCAACTAAACAAGATCTATCCTGAAGATATTTAAGGAATAAAATGGAAATAGGAAAACAAACAGATGAAGAGCGGAAAAACTTCAAAACTTCAACATCGAACTATTCCCCCCATTAATGATACCACACTTGGGCTCTAAACATCAGAGTCCACAATGTGTTTCACAAAGAAGTTGAAAAGGCACTAGAGATTACAAGAATAGGAAAAACAGTTATACTAGACCATGTACACACAGAGGATGTCAATGCTAGAGGTGACAAAATTATGAAGGTGCTTAGGGATTCATTCTCAAATCATATGAAAGAGAGGAGGGCACTAGAGGATTAGTAAAGCACTGTAACAAAAAAAGTCAGCTCAGGATAAAAATTACTGATCCATATACGCTTACTTTTCTATTTTTATAAAATTTTGGTGAGAAAAATCTATACACACATTGTGAGTGTTCTCAAAGGCATGAGAAGAAAATAGGCAGTCTTTTATAACATATTACAAAGCAGACTATATCTTTATAGTAACTGATTAAAATGTGTTCAGAATATAAGCTTATTGTTTGTTGACTATTAAAAAAAACAGCATTTGATTCAGTAGAACTATTATCATTTTAAACGCTCTCTTTCAACAAGCTGTTTCCCATGCATGACAAAATCAAGAATTCTTGAAATATTTCTTGAAAATAACAAATTAACCCTCTTACTATAATTATCAATGAAGACAGAAAAAGTAGATGTACAAGCAAAAATAGGAAAAACTGAAGTTAAACTAAAAATTAAGACCTTAAAACATAATATTAAGCAACACTGCCTATATGCTAAATAAGCCTTTCAATCTGGTAATTTGTATCTCCACAACATTTCTTGCATAGGTTTCCTTAAGTGCATTCACACAGCCAATATACAACTTTAGGACCAGGCCTTCTTGGCCAGGATTCTTTCAAATAACTCCTTGGATTATGCTTGAGAACATATAAAAGCTACCAGATTATATCCGTTACTCAGTTATTTCTTTAACTGCATGGCAAAGTTATCTCTTTAACTACCAATATGTTGGGTCTAGGAGACCACTCTCCTTGTAACTAACTACATGATGGATTTAATAAGCTTTTTATTCTATTAGATCTGACACTAAACATAACTCAGATTTTTTTTTCTCAGACATACTCACAAAAGGTATTTGAAACTATCAAGGAGGAAATCCAATGCAGAGTCCAAATTGAAGAGGGATTCCATGTAAAATCCTTGTGGAATTGGTAATGCCTTCCAATAAGCTCCTGTTTACAGATGACCTTTCATTCATTGTAACAACTTCTAGCACAATGCAAGGGCTCCTAAATAATATTCACAATGACTCAACAGTGTTTAACCTAACTATCCTCACAGGAAAAACCAAGTGTATTAAGAATGCCTACTATTCACACTACATTCAGGAAGATAAACAAATCATAGAGTTGATCCATATGGACGGCCACTGCAGATGGATAATGAACTGGGTCAAGAATTAAAAAGAAGTAGAAGCAACAGCTAGATTGCCTGTGAAAAACTACAGAGTTCTTTTTATACTCTAAGCTTTTGCCTAAAACTGAACCCCATCTTTCTAACTTCAATATTCTTCCGGTGATTATGTTATTAGATAATAAAGGCTCTGAAGAATTAAAGTTGCAGTTCACCCAAAGGTCAAGACAGTGATACATAATAGGCGTGAATCAGCTACAACAAGGAATTATGATAAAGCAACATAAAGGTTATCATCAGATAGGTGTATGGGAAGAAAATAAGAAAGAAATAACTCAATTCTCTATGGACAGGCCATGTTCTCAAATGGTACTGGTCAGTCAACTAGCATTTATTATTAACTGGCACATGGTTGGCCATGTGCCAGGCACTATGTAAGCCCTGGGGATACAAAAAAGAAAACAAAAGATAAAAGACAGTCCCTACTCTCAAGAAGTTCATAGTTTAATGCAG